TCCCTTGCATCTATGGCAAGCATCCTCAGAGGTTGTGAGATCCTCACAACCTTTGAGGATGCTTTCAACCTCTGAAGATGCTTGCCATAGATGCAGGCGAAACCTCAGGAGACAATAGCCATGTTCTAGTAGCATTCTCTCTTGACATTTCCCCTGCATCTATGGCAGGCATCTCAGAGGTTGTGAGATCCTTACAACCTTTGAGGATGCTCACAACTTCTGAGGATGCTTGCCATAGATGCAGGCGAAACATCAGGAGAGAATGGCCATGTTCTAGTAGCATTCTCTTTTTACGTTTCCCTTGCATCTATGGCAAGCATCCTCAGAGGTTGTGAGATCCTCACAACCTTTGAGGATGCTTTCAACCTCTGAAGATGCTTGCCATAGATGCAGGCGAAACCTCAGGAGACAATAGCCATGTTCTAGTAGCATTCTCTCTTGACATTTCCCCTGCATCTATGGCAGGCATCTCAGAGGTTGTGAAGTCCTGTAGCACTGAGCCATGGGATCTAAAGTGGACTCCGTTGGCATTCATTCTACAGTGGCACATGCCCTGCAAGACTTGGGATTGGACATCTCAGCACAAAGGCACTGCTTAATTTTCTCCATCTTCTTGTTTCACAGCAATGGGAAACTCCTATGGCTCCTATGGCTGTGACTGCCAATGCGCCAGCCCTTGCTGTTGCGATTGCTGCTGCCCCCAATCCTGCTGCGACCAGTGCTGCCAGTCCTGCTGCCCCCCACCCTGCTGCTGCTCTCCTTGCCAATCAAGCTGCTCCTGCTCCTGTTGCAGCCCACCTAGCCAGCAATGCTGCAAATGAGTTGGTCAAGAGATCCGCCGTACAAGAAATACCTTGTCACTGGCATCCTGATGTGCCTGTCCCCTTCTGTTGATCTTCTGAATTTGTCTTCTCTTTTGCTTCTGTAACCTTTCCGTCTTGTCCTCTCTTTCTGCAATAACACACCTCTAGTTTAACACATCATCTATAATTCATGTCTCCACTTGAACTTAGAAAACACCCTTGGGACACTGTTTGGAGAAGATGGAAGTTTTCCATACTTCTTCCAAGCTCTGGTCTATTAGAGATGATGGAACATACCATGTATGTATTGTTGAAGGCTTTCATGGCTGGAATCACTGGGTTGTTGTAGGTTTTTTGGGTTGTATGACCATGTTCTAGAAACATTCTCTCCTGACATTTCGCCTGCATCTATGGCAAGCATCCTCAGAGATTGTGAGGTCCTCACAACCTTTGAGGATGCTCACAAACTCTGAGGATGCTTGCCATAGATGCAGGTGGAACGTCAGGAGAGAATGCTTCTAGAACATTGGTTCTCAACCTGGGGTCCCCAGATGTTTGTGGCCTACAACTCCCAGAAATCCTAGCCAGTCTACCAGCTGTTAGGATTTCTGGGAGTTGGAGGCCAAAAACATCTGGGGATCCCAGGTTGAGAACCACTGTTCTAGAACATGGCCATATTGCCCGAAAAACTTATAACAACCCACACCATATATGGTTTGTCCAGTTCTCTTGTTTTCCTACAACCTCAAAGCTAATTTTCTGAGCTCTACACTTTGTTGTCATTTTCAAATTCTGCGCGAAATTTCTGCAGTTTTCAGAAACTTCATTTTTCAGATTCTTTCTCCCATTTTTGGAAGCCTTTCCTTGAATTCACTTAAGTGATTTATCAGTTAATTCAAAAGATCAAAGGGAAACTAATTTTGAGGCAGAACTAATGTTCTGCCTCAAAATTAAGACGTATTTTAATGGAAAACAAACAAATTATATCCATCTTCATCCATGTTTTATTTAGTCCTGTTGTAAGTCTTTCTTTCTCCCCTTTTCCCACCTCACTACTTCTCTTCTGTATTTTCTCATCAATAATGGTTTCAAAGACTGGAATCCTCAACATGAAGAACTAGTAGGACATTCTGGTGAACATGATGGATTGGGACTTGAGACCTAGCTTCAAATTCCTTACTGATGGATGAAACCCATGAATGAGATTTTGGACCAGTTGTCCTGTCTCTCTAGATTAGGAAAGGCAATCTTGAATGCCACCTTGAGCTTACTGGAAGGAAGGCAGCCAAAGAAGAACATGGATTGCAATGTGTCTTGTTCACCTTCCCGAACCACCAGATGGAAGTCTACTACCACCATCTCCCACATCATCTTCCAGAAATTCATCTTGTTGAGGAATTAATCTCAACCTTTCTACTTGTTTCTTTCTTAGGTTGGATCTACACTGCCCTATATCTCAGGTTCTGATCCCAGATTATCTGCTTTGAAGTGGTTTATATGAGTCTCCACTCCACTGCCAGGGGGATGGACTGGATGGACCATGAGGTCTTTTCCAACTCTATGATTCTATATAGTCTGGGATAAACAGATTATCTGGGATCTGATTCTGGGATATAGGGCAGACATGGCCTTAGAGGACAGATCTTCTGTCTACTTCTTTTCATCAAGAAGGAAGTAGGTGATGTCCTCCAATGATTGAGGTGGTTTCTTCTCACAACCCATCAATTCCACCATGGATTTTATCAACAACAAAGAACATGTCTATTTCCGAGGTGGTTTCTTCTCACAATCCGTCAATTCTGCCATGGATTCTACCAACAACAAAGAACATCTCTATTTCCGCCCTGTTCTCACTATGCTTCAGAACATCATCTGAGATCAGATTCTGGTATATAGGGCAGAGTAGACGTGGCCTTAGAGGACAGATCTTCCATCTACTTCCTTTCATCAAGAAAGAAGTTGGTGATGTCATCCAGTGATTGAGGTGGTTTCTTCTCATAATCCATCAACTCTGCCATGGATTCTACCAATAACAAAGAACATCTCTATTTCCGCCCTGTTCTCACTATGCTTCAGAACATCATCTGAGATCAGATTCTGGTATATAGGGCAGTGTAGATGTCGCCTTAGAGGACAGATCTTCCATCTACTTCCCTTCTTCAAGAAGAAAGTTGGCGATGTCTTCCAATGATTGAGGTGGTTTCTTCTCACAATCCATCAATTCCGCCATGGATTCTACCAACAACAAAGAAAATCTGAATTTCCTTCCTGTCCTCACTATAGTTCAGAACATCATCTAGACACCATGTGATTCCAAGTTTGAGTCTGGATTTTCCACAACTCTGCACTGTAAAACCTTGATATCTCAAAAACCTTGCAACCATTTTGGTTTCTCTAATAAAAGTGTTAAACTAATATCGACTTTTGGACTTTTTTCCTCACCTCTTAGGGTGGACATGTCTTCTTTGCCTTTCATAAAATTATTGTAATCAAGGGGTCCATATTGTCACAGAAATTGGGATATATCTGGAAGTGGAAGCCCAAGTATTGGAGGATAAATCCAAAGAGTATCTATCCACTTGGCCATAATAACACTTCAGGCAAAAAAAGAGATCAGTGCCTTGCGATTGTCTGAATTCCTAAGGATTACCAGCTCTTATTGGATCAACATCCTTGATCTTAGAATGGGGTGGGGGGACCAATTAAAAAGTCCTTCAACTAATTAAAACAGTTTTCTTTCCCCAAGTAAACATACTAGCTAGTAGAACATGCCTATGCTTGTGTGTAGTGCCTAAAATGTCTCAGTCTTGTAAGGAATTTTCCACAAAGAGAAAACTATACAGTCTCTATTTGAAGTCCCATGAATGAGGAGGAACACTATACAATTGGGGCAGAGGACGAGAAATAAGAAATGTTATTAATTGATTATTACGATTGCCATTAATATCTGTCAACAGATGTTTGCATTCAATGTTCTTAGGAGATGTAAGAAATAGTGCCGTCCTGGGCCCGGTCCTGTTTATTATTAAAAAATACATCTTTATTAATGACTTAGATGAAGGGTTAGACGGCAGGATCATCAAGTTTGCAGACGACACCAAATTGGGAGGGAGAGCCAAGACTCCAGAGGACAGGAGCAGGATTCAAAGGGATCGCGACAGATTAGAGAGATGGGCCAAAACTAACAAAATGAAGTTCAACAGGGACAAATGCAAGATACTCCACTTTGGCAGGAAAAACAAAATGCAAAGATACAGAATGGGGGACGCCTGGCTCGAGAGCAGTACGTGTGAAAAAGATCTTGGAGTCCTCGTGGACAACAAGTTAAACATGAGCCAACAATGTGATGTGGCGGCAAAAAAAGCCAATGGGATTTTGGCCTGCATCAATAGGAGCATAGTGTCTAGATCTAAGGAAGTAATGCTACCCCTCTATTCTGCTTTGGTTAGACCACATCTGGAATATTGTGTCCAATTCTGGGCACCACCATTCAAGAGAGATATTGACAAGCTGGAATGTGTCCAGAGGAGGGCGACTAAAATGATCAAGGGTCTGGAGAACAAGCCCTATGAGGAGCGGCTTTAAGGAGCTGGGCATGTTTAGCCTGAAGAAGAGAAGGCTGAGAGGGGATATGATAGCCATGTATAAATATGTGAGAGGAAGCCACAGGGAGGAGGGAGCAAGCTTGTTTTCTGCTTCCCTGGAGACTAGGACGCAATGGAACAATGGCTTCAAACTACAAGAGAGGAGATTCCATCTGAACATGAGGAAGAACTTCCTGACTGTGAGAGCCGTTCAGCAGTGGAACTCCCTGCCCGGAGTGTGGTGGAGGCTCCTTCTTTGGAAGCTTTTAAACAGAGGCTGGATGGCCATCTGTCAGGGGTGATTTGAATGCAATATTCCTGCTTCTTGGCAGAATGGGGTTGGACTGGATGATGGCCCACGAGGTCTCTTCCAACTCTAGGATTCTATGATTCTATGAATCACTGTAGTGAAATAATCAAGAACGGGTATAATAACATCCCACGCATACACATGTCCAGGCTAGCAGAATCAACTTTTCTTGGGGGAAAATAAATAACAGTATGTTTATTTGCAAACTACGTAATCAAGCACGTGCTCTTTTGGGAGGAGAGAGAAGGAAGAGGGAGAGAAAAAGGTTGCAACGTAAAATGACGTAGGAATAGAGAGGTGTGGCAAAGCAAACGAATAGGAGTTTAGGATAAATATATGCTGCACTTCATTTTCTTGAGAGCATCGTGCAAACTAGTAATTTGTAAGTATAGTATCCAAAGGCTTAACAAGGGGCTGTATAATTTGCTTGCAAGATGTCTCAGGTTCAATCCCTCCCTCTCTGAGCAAGGCCGGGTAAAACTCTGGACAAAAGCACTGGAAAGTGACTATCAAAAAGTAACACCAGCATTGTCCAGTAAGAAGGAGGTGGGCACTCTATAGCTTCCTTGCAAGTGCCCTGGTAGCACCTCAACAGATGTGATTGTCATGGCCAGGTGCTAGCAGGGAAATCTGTGGCTGGTGAGAGACAGTAGAAGTATCATGGAGAAAAAGAGGATGGTCCAGTAAGAATTATGTGGTCTTAACTTGGCTGCACCATATGAAAACCAGTAGGGGTCACAGAGGGTTCAGCCTGGTGCATATGGCCACCATCATGTTCATTCAAGGGTCCCATAATATATGTCTGGTGTAGGCAAAACTTTATCTCCATCTCCCTTTCCCTCTCCATCTGTTTCTATCTCACCTCTACCTCCATCTCCATCTCCATCTTAGTTTCCATCTCCGTCTCCGTCACCATCTGTCTTTGCCTCCATTTCTGCATCCACCTCCACCTCCATCCATCTCCATCTTTGTTTTTGTCTCTGTCTCTATCTCTGCCTGTCTCTGTCTGCATCTCCATCTGTCTCCATCTCTGCCCCTGTCTGTCTCCGTCTCTATCTCCATCTCCATCTCCATCTGTCTCCATCTCTGCCTCCATCTGTCTCCATCGCTATCTCCATGTGTCTCCATCTCCATTTCTGTCTCTACCTCCGTCTCCACCTCTATCTCCATCATCTTCTCCATCTTTCTCCATCTCCATCTTTCACCATCTCCACATTTCTCCATCTCCATCTCTATCTCCATCTCTGCCTCCATCTGTCTCCATCTTTGTCTCTATCTCCATCTCCATCTCCATCATCTCCATCTCCATCTGTTTCCATCTCTGCCTCTGTCTGTCTCCGTCTCTGTCTCCATCTTTCTCCATCTTTCTCCATCTCCATCTCTATCTCCACCTCTGCCTCCATCTGTCTCCGTCTCTGTCTCCATCTCCATCTGTCCCCAACTCTGCCTCCATCTGTCTCCATCTCTGTCTCCATCTTTCTCCATCTTTCTCCATCTCCATCTCTATCTCAATCTCCATCTCTGCCTCCATCTGTCTCCATCTCTGTCTCCATCTCTATCTCCATGTGTCTCCATCTCCGTCTCCACCTCCGCCTCCATCTCTGCCTCCATCTCTCTCCGTCTCTGTTTCCATCTCTATCTCCATGTGTTTCCATGTCCATCTCCATTTCCGCCTCTATCTCCTTTTCCATCTTTCTCCATCTCCATCTGTATCTCCATCTCTGTCTTTATCTGGTTCTATCTTTGTTTCAGTCTCTATCTCAATCTTGATCTTCTCCCCTCTCTCTCTCCCTCTCTTTCTCCCCCTCCTTCTCTCTCTCTCGCTATCTATCTATCATCTATCTATCTATCTATCTATCTATCTATCTATCTATCTATCTCTTTAGTTTGCTTCCTATATCCACTGATGTCATTGATCTTAAATCAAAATAGCAACCCTCAACATTTGGAGCCAGTGGGGACCATTGGACTTATTCAATAGCCCTTTTATATTCTCTAGAGAGGGTGGATTTTGCTTAGACGAAGCCTTCCCCTAACAAGGGGAGCACATTCCAAATCTCTGCTCATCCATATTCACAAACCCACCATTCTAGGAAAAGAAACAACCTGAGAATAACCAGAGGGCATTTCTTTTATCATTTGCGCATTCCTTGCCATAGTCCCATGCAATGGAATCTTTGGGATTTCTGATATTGGGGGTAGTATTAGCAAAGTGTAGAAGATTGTGGGCTGGGTTAGGATTTCTCAGCCATGGAAACCAGGAAGATGACTTTGGGTGAGTTGCACGCTTTCAGCTTCAGAGGGAGGCAACAGAAGATCAACAGAAGAGTCCCCATGAGATACTTATCATAAATCAGAGCTGATCCCCAAAGCACATATTTCATCCGCTCACCAAGACATTCCGTTATTTATATCCTACTTTTCTCCTTGGCTGGCTTAGCAAAATAATAACAACACAATCTAATACAGATATTGTATCAATTTATAACATTTATATTCCATGCAAATTCTAGATACCACCTGCTGTTGAACCAGAAGATGTTTGGGAAGCTACCATGATGAACAGTCCTTTGATATGGATTATCGTACGTTGATATAGTTCCCCTTATGTGGTTTTATTTTGAATCATGGAATTTTGCCTGTGAGGAGGGAAGGAGATAATTTACTACTATCTTATATAAAATGTGGATAAAAATAGCATAGAGAAGAAACAGATATGATAAATTTGGGTGAAAACTTAGTTATGTAATTAGGCATTTGGATAGTTAAATATGGATTCGGCATAATGTAGCAATACCCCACTTTATTTCTTCCACAGGAAACTCAAAGTGGCTATGTATCTACTACTACTACTACTACTACTACTACTACTACTACTACTATTAGACACACAACAAGATTAGTACACAACAAACAAGATCATTATGCTGGGTTTTGTATTTGATCACACACTGAACACTTCCCAAGTATCTTGCTTTATCTCTCCCGCAGGAGACTCAAAGCGACTAATAATAATAATAATAATAATATTAATAACAATAATAATTATAATTCCAAGAATAAGACAATTGTAATATGATACATTATTATTATGTGTATTTATTAGGCATGGTTAGGTTCAGTCGTAATCTTCGTAATTTGGAATAAATTCAGAAAGATTTGCTTTTTGAAGCAATTTCGAAGTTTTTAAGCAAACCGGAAGTCCCTTTGCCTTTCCGAAGCTTTTTCCGCCATTTCTGTTACAAAGCAGTAAGTGAGTCGGAAATGATTCAGGTTTTCCTTGCTTCTGGTCCCTGGCCTCGACTCAAGCCATTTTAAACCAGAGTGGATGAATTTCCTCCCTTTCCTCTCCCCCTGCTTCTGTCTCAAACCTGAAAAACCATTTTAAACCAGAGAGGATGAATTTCCTCCCTTTCCCCTCCCCCTGCTTCTGTCTCAAACCTGAAAAGCCATTTTAAACCAGAGAGGATGAATTTCCTCCCTTTCCCCTCCCCCTGCTTCTGTCTCAAGTCTGAGAAGCTGTGTTAAACCAGAGAGGATGAATTTCCTCCCTTTCCCCTTCCCCTGCTTTTGTCTCAAACCTGAAAAGCCATTTTAAACCAGAGAGGATGAATTTCTTCCCTTTCCTCTCCCTCTGCTTCTGTCTCAAGCCAGAGAAGCCATTTTAAACCAGAGAAGGATGAATTTCCTCCCTTTGCTTCCCCCTTCCCTTGCTTCTGGAATAAAGCAACTACTTTCAAAGTAAGGACCACCCAATGAAACAGGAAATAACACTTTCAATCCATTAGGATGAATGTCCTCCCTTTCCTCTCCCCCGCTTCTGTCTCAAGCCAGAGACAGAACCAGAGAAGGATGAATTTCCTCCCTTTGCTTTCCCCTTCCCTTGCTTCTGGAGCAAAACAACTACTTTCAAAGTAAAGACCACCCAATGAAACAGGAAATAACACTTTCAATCCATTGAGGAAGGATTCAGAAGTCTCAGAAGTTTCAAAAACTTTTGAACATTTTTTTTCTGTGAAAATCGGAATTGACTTTAGAATCGAACCACCAGCTCCCTCTACATCCGAAATGCGTTTTGAACCATTTTTTGGTTCAAACAAGCCTAGTATTTATCCCCACTTTATCTCTTCTTATTTATTTATTTATTTATTTTGGGCACTTCTACCCCGCCCTTCTCAACCCCCTAAGGGGGGACTCAGGGTGGCTTACAACCAGCACAATTCGATGCCAACAATTCAACAGATAAAATACATAACAGCAATAACCACAATAGTTAAAACATTAAATTAATACAATAACAACGAAAAAGCCAATCTAGTGGCCAACGTTCACCGAGTTCTAAAATCCGTAAGTCCATTCAGCATTACCATAGTCCTTTCCAGATTCTGGTTGTCATTACCTTGTCAGTCTGCCAGATTACCCAAAGGCCTGGTCCCATATCCATGTTGTCAGCTTCCTTCTGAAGGAGAGGAGGGATGTTGATGACCTAATTTCCCCGGGGAGTGAATTCCACAGGTGAGGGGCCACCACTGAGAAGGCCCTGTCCCTCATCCCTACCAGCCTCACTTGTGATAGCGGCGGGGCCAAGAGCAGGGCCTCCCCAGAAGATCTTAAACTCCGAGGTGGGACATAGAAGGAGATACGTTCGGACAGGTATGCTCTTCTGCAGGAGAATCATAGAATTATAGAGTTGGAAAAGACCCAAAGGACTATCCAGTCTTTGAGGTAGGAAGACATCATCCAAGCCTTCCCAACAGATGGCAATCCAACCTCTGCTGAAAAGCTTCCAGAGAAGAAGACTCCATCATGCATATCACACAGTCAAACATCTCTTACCGTCAGGAGGTTCTTCCTAATGTTTGAGGTAGGAAGACATCATCCAAGCCTTCCCAACAGATGGCAATCCAGTCTCTGCTGAAAAGCTTCCAGAGAAGAAGACTCCATCATACATATCACACAGCCAAACAGCTCTTACCGTCAGGAGGTTCTTCCTAATGTTTATGTGGAATCTTCCTCCTGCAATTTGAATCCATTGCTCCATTGGATCCTAGTTTCCTCAACAGGACATCATTTCAGATATTTAAACATGGTTCTGGTGTCCCCTTCTCTCAGCCTTCTTTTCTCCAAGCTCAACATCCCTAGCTCCCTCATTCATTCCTCATTGGGCTTTGATCATTGTTGGTTGCTCTTCTCTGGACATGTTCTAGCTTGCCAATATCTTTCTTGAACTAAAGAGGGAGGACCACCATGGTGCCAATGATATGGGAGCTGTTGTTCTGCAGCAGAGACATAGCTCTGCAACTCCGTAACCCTCACTATCTCAGTATATATTTTGGCCTTCTGAGACAGACTGCATCCTTGCCCGTGCTTTTGTAATTGTCA